GTCAATTTTCCCTAAACTGATTTACAGATTTGATGCAATGCCAATCAAATCTCAGCAGGCTTTTTTTGGGGGGAAATTGACATGCTGGTTTCAAAATGTGAATGGAGATACAAAGGACATAAAAAAAGTTGTAGTACAGTCAGTCACACAAAGAAACCCCACACAGCAGTGAAAATGAAGGAACCACAGCACCTCACATCAGCATGGATATATTCTTAAAAAAATCAGAATAGATAAAGAAAATTACAGGAGGCTGTGGCCTGAATGAGATATGTATATGTATATTTAAAGCTTTAAAACATGCAATTCATATATGTACTGAACATGAGAGCACCAAAATACATGAAGCAAACACTGACAGATTTGAAGGGAGAAATAAGCAGTTCTGCAATAATAATTTGAGACTTCAATATTCATATTTCAATAATGAATAAAATAACCACACAGAAGATTAATAAGGAAACACGGGCCTTGAGGAACACTACAAACTAATTGGACCTAACAGATACACACAAAACACTCAATACAAGAGAATACACATTTTCCTCACTACACATGGAACATTCTCCAGGACAGACTATATGTTAGGCTACAAAACAAATCATAGTACATTTTAAAATACTGAAACCATACAAAGTACCTTTTCTGATATAGTGGAATAAAACTATGAATCAATAACAGATGGGAAGCTGGAAAATTCACAAATATGTGGAAATTAAACAACACACTCTTTTCCAACACATCAAAAAAGAAATCACAAGGAAATTAGAAAATACCTGAGACAGACAAAAAACAAAACACAACATACCAAGACTTATGATATGTAGCAAAAGTCGTGCTAAAGCAGAAATTTATTGTTGTAAATGCACACATTATACAAAAAGAAAGATCTCAAATAATAGCCTAACTTTATACCATAAAGAGCTAGAGAAAGAGGAGCACACGTAACCAAAAGCTAGCAGAAGGAAGGAAATAATAAAGATTACAGCTAAGATAAATAAAATAGAAAAACATTAGCAAAAAATCAAAGAAGCCAAAGTTGGTTCTTTGAGGAAAAAAAAATCAACAAAGTCGACAAAACTTTAGAGTGACTAAGGAAAAGGGACTCAAAAAAAAGAGAGAGGTAATCAAATTAGTAAAAATCAGAATTGGTAAAATCAAATATAGCAATGGAGAAACATAAATTTAGAGTAATATATAATAAGCCCCCTATATACGACCCTTCAAGTTCGAACTTTCAAAGATGTGAACATGCATTTGCATGTCCAATCACGTAAGTTCACGTGTCTGGCATACATAGTCACATTTGTACAAGTAGTTGCGCTTTGGTGTACTTTTCTGTAAGTACTGTAGAGTACAGTAGTACAGTATTTTTATTTCAAGCCCAGGATGTCCAGAAGTGAGCATAAATGCAGCAGTAATGTAGCTGATACTGCTAAGAAGTGCCAAGCAATAATGATGGAAACAAAAGTGAAAATAATTGAGAGAGTGGAGTGAGGCAAAAAGATGGTAGACATCACTTGTTCTTATAACATTTATTGTTTAACCATCAGCACGATTGTAAAGAGTGAGGACAAGATCATGAAATATATGAAGTCTGCTGTGCCAGTGATGTCAACAATAATATTGAAGAAGCGCAGAAACATGACAGAGGAGATGGAGAAGCTTCTTAGTATATGGACGCAGGATGAGCATCAGTGTTGAGTCTTGCTCAGCTTAATGCTGATTCAAGAGAAAGCTAAAAGCCTTTATGAAGATGTGAAGAAGAAACATGGCAAAGAATCAGAGGGTGTATCTTTTAATGCCAGGCATGGCTGGTTTCATCAGTTTAAGGCTAGAGTCAACCCTCACAATATAAAAGTAGTGAGGCAGTGAGTGCAGATACGGTATCTGCCCAGGAATTTCCCGAAATGCTTCAAGAACTAATTAATGAAGGTGTGGATTTACCTGAGCAGGTTTTAATATGGATGAGACAGGACTATACTGGAAAAAGATACTAGACTGAAATTATATCAATAAGGAGGAAAAGCTGATGCCAGACTATAAAGCAGCAAAGGATAAGCCGACTCTGTTGTTTGGTGGCAATGCTTCCAGCGATATGAAGCTGAAGCCTCTCCTAATTTAACATTCAGAGAACCCAGAAGCCCTTAAAAACATAGCCAAGAGCTCTCTTCCTGTTATATGGAAGAGTGACCCCAAAGCCTGGGTTACACAGGTCATTTTTCAGAACTGGCTCTTCCACCACTTTATCCCAGAGGTAGAGAAATATGGCTTGGAGAAGGATGTCGCATTCAACTTTCTTTTGTTGCTCGACAATGTTCCAGGCCACCCACTACTCATGAATGACTTTCATCCCAACATCAAAGTAGTGCACCTCCCACCAAACACAATGACATTCATCCAACCTATGGGCCGGGGAGTTATAGCAACTTTCAAGAAATATTATTTATGTCACACTTTTCATCAGGTGAGTGATAAATCAGGAACAACCTTGTGACAACTTCGCAAAGACTGCAACATCTACAAGGTCACAAAAAATTGACTTTGCTTGGTGTGAGGTTATAGCTGTCACCATGAATGGGGGTTGGAAGAACATTTGCCGGCAGTTTATTCATGATCTTCATGGATTTGGGGAGGTGGGTGAGGAGTTCGAAGAGGTCTTCAGCAACTCAGTGACCCTCGGCAAGAAGCTGGAGTTAGATCTGCAAGGGGATGATGTCACTGAACTCCTTGCTGTGCAATGTGAGAAGCTCACTCACGAAGACCTAATGGAATCGGAGGCTCAGAAAAACGATGAAGAGAGACAAGGGGAAGAAGAAGTAATTGAAGAATCAAAGGGATTCATGACGCAGGAAATGGCAAGGGGATTTTCTTTATTTGGGGAGGTACTGGTAGTATTTGAGGCACAGGACTCGAATATAGAATGGTATGCAAAGGTTGCAGCAGCTGTTCAGGATGCAGTCCATGCTACTGTGTCATCTACGACAAGAAAAAAAAAGAGCTACACCTAGATGTCACGGAATTGTTTTTTCAAGAGGGTACATAGAATTGAAGCAGGAGTACTTGCACTGGGGACACAATCTGCTTGCAGAGTCACACAGCTGGAATGCTGACAAAGCTTTTGGAAAGGACACTCTGCACAGTGTTCCTAACAGCACTTCCTTCCTCACTACTTCCTGGTGTGCATGCATGTGCGTTGGGCATGCTTCTTTTCTAGCTTTCGGACAGTACTGTGTTCGATAGGGTCAGATCCCCTGGGCCTCTAAAGTCTTGGCTTTCGTCGGTCACTGAAGAAGAGAAGACAGAATTCTGGAGAAGGGTCAAACCATACTGGCCAGGCCCTGTGTACAAAACTATGCCTAAAATGATAAACAATGATTTTGCTCTGGGCACAGCTGGGGAGCATGGAAACATTTCCTGAAAGTAACAGACACATCCAGATCTTAAATGTTCAGCCCTTTGTCTCAGCAATCCTACTTCTAGGGATTCAATCAAAAGAGAGCTCTGCATAACTGTGAAAAAATAAGCTCAAGGGGTTCATCCCTGTGTCATTTATACTGGCAAAGAATTATTAACAACCCACCTGTCCACCAATGAGGGGACTGCTTATTAAACAATGGGTCCATCCACACAAAAGGGCCCTGTTAACCCATTTAGAAGTGACCATGTAGTCCATGAAGTTATTAGAGACATGGCTCAGGTACACCCCAGTGCAAAGCTCAGCTACTCAAGAGCTTTGAGGACTAGAAAGTTACTTCACAGCTCTGAGCCTTGGTGCCCCGAGGTCAGCACTGTCCCAGGCTCACACTTGACCTTCACACCTGTCACTATGCCCACAGGCTAGGGTGGTGATGACAATCCTTCGGGAGAACTGCAAAAAATGTGGTGGGAACCATAGCTATCCTTGCCCATCTGGAGGTCATTCTCAAATGGAGGATTCGCGCCCAGTCAGCTGCTGTTCTCCCCCTGGCCTTCTAACTGGCTTCCATTTGCAATCCCTGCAGGACTTCGGGCAAGGTTCCTCACCTTCTAGGTTGGGTTCAGTGGCCAAGAAGAGCAGCTGCTCTGTGGCTGCCTTTGTCTGACTATAGAGCTCCATTAGACCACAAAACCAAACTGAGTTATAGGGTTATCACATTTAGTTGCCATCACCATCAGCCCCATGACACAGAGAGGGAAACAAGCCCCTCTACTGCCCCCTGCCAAGTTGAAGGTGAGACCCATTCCACCACAGGCCTGACCAACACAGTCATGTCATGGGAGCTGACAAGTCATGGTCAGCATGTGAAAGGGTGCAAGACACCAAGTGCCCATGCCAGGTACCAATTCACATGAAATGATGTCAGAGGGACATGCGAAAAGTACACCATCATGAGAATCCAAGAGGAGGGAAATGCCACACAGTTTTTTCAACAACAAATTCAAGTAAATAATGACTAAACAAGAGAGAGAAGGAAGGAAGCCCACAGACTATGAGAGAAGACAGACCAGTCCATCAATGTACACTTCATGGAACCCTGGGAATCACTTAAGTGGATGGATATGTGAAGATGTTAAGAAATCACTGTCAGATATGACAGTGGTTCTGTGATTATGTTGTTAAAAGCATCCTTTTTGAACTACACATGAAAAAGTTGACAGAAAAATATGATATTTGGGATTTCGTTTAAAATCACCCCCAGGATTGGGGGGGAGCAGACAAAACACAATCACCCAAAAAGTAATGCTGTCAAAGCTGCATCATGGGAACAGAGTTCTCATCTCAGTTGTCCCTTCAAAAGAGACATTTGTAGTTGTTTGTCTGAAATCTCAAATATCCCATTAAAGGAGTGAGGAAAAGAAACAGGGCAGGGGAACTTTGTGGCAGAGGGCCTGGTCTAGGTGAGGGACTTTGAAGTATTCCACAGAAGTCTGAAGTGTTCTGTAAATGCTTGCTCCCAGCTTCCTCTTTCCAGTACACTTTTAACCAGTTTTTGAAACCTCAGTTAAAAAACACATACCTCACACCCAGAAGTGACAGGATACAGTGCAGTCTGTGACCAGTGCTAGCCCACGTGCTATTTTTAATTAACTGTGGGAGAGAAGTGCAAAATTGAAAGTCAGAGTTTAGAAACTTATATGACAATGTGACACAGTAACCATATGATTGTTGAGTCTAATAAAAAGATAATGGGCTGATATTTTCATATATTTTTATTATAATCATTCATTTCATTTTTTTTAAATTGTCCATGAGAGAGTAAAAAACATGGGAAGCCCAAACTCCACCTGTACAATAACTACTTTTGTACCTAATTCTGAATTGTACCCCACATCTTTAAAATAAAATTATAAGTTAAAAAAAATAAAGTTTAAAAAATAAACATCTGATCCTTCACCACAGAGAGCTTGAGAAGTACTGTCATAGACTGGACACTGATCCCCTGGAGACCCCAAACCTAGGTGGCCAGCCAAAGATCCCAGGACAAAGCTTCCCATCCCATAGTTTGCAGTGTCAGCTCCAGTCTACTTCCCACAAACATGTCATGGAAAGAGTAGCAGCAGCACGCCAAGTCTGTTTGACTTGTGAGCCCATGCTCACTTGCATGCCACCACACCAGCACAAGCTGAGCCACCTCCAACAAGGCCCAGGATGTGCACCGAGTACCCAACCTGGTCAAGGCATCTTGGCCTGCTGTGGTTAGCCAGCCAGCTTTCACACACAGGCCCACTACCGTTTCCCTTTCACAATTCTGGGTCAGCTTAACATCAGAGGGTCATCAGACTGCAGAATGAGCTGCTTAAAAACTCAACTGTTTCTTTCTGTCAACTGAAAATGATCACTAAAGTGCAGAAATAAATCAGGAGGCGGACTGGTGTAAGACATCAACCAGTACCCACGGGCCCTGGTTTCAGGCGTGCTCCTGGAAAAAAAAAAACCCTCACAAAGATAAACTTAGAAAATAAACTCACACTATGCAAAGTCACCTGTATCTGTTTTATACACTGGGGTTCCATGTTCAAGTTTTGCTACTTTAAGTGAGAAGTAAGAGTTGCTGGTGGTCAAGATTCTTGAACTGTGCCCTCAACTCTGCTACCACTCATGCTACCCAGCATCACTGGGCCTCAGTTGCCTCATCTATAAAATGGGAACAGAGCCACCCATTGTGTAGGGTTTTTTTTTTTTTTGCTTGTTTTTTTTGTTTTTGTTTTTAGGATAAAAGGAAATAAGAGCTTAAAAACACACTTCAAAGAATTAAAAGTACAAAGCTACAGGCATATAGTATCAAGTTCACAGCATGACCTGAGTTCTATCCTCTCTCTCTCCTTCTCGCATAGCCTCAACTCATCCCATCTCCTCCTCCAGAGTGTGGAATGTGATACTATCACTAAAACTGATAATAATATTACTAACAGATTAATTCAAGTATCACTGATCAAAAAATGTATCACTGACCCTGCTATGTGTGCCAACATGGCACTAACTGCTCTTTCCCTGAAATCCTCCCTACAGCCCTATGAAGCCGCCTCCAGCCCCTGCCCCAGATAGTGCTTTGAGAAAACAAAGCCTCAAACCCCAGCATGATAACCAGTGAAAATCAACGTGAGTACCCAGTGGACAAGGCATAGGGACTACAATCATGAACAGACACACACACTGTGATCTCATGGGGTTTCATCCCAGGAACTGGCAGGAGTGGTACAGTCTGTGAGCTTTCCTGGGCCAGACCCTCCTACTGGAGCAGAGAAAACATTTGTGGTTTTGTGGCTCTGCTGAGAACAGCAGTTTCAGGGTCTCTGGCTCAATGCAGGCACTGAAGTTGACAAGTTGACCTGCCAAGCCCAACCAGCAAGAGCAG